ATATTGGCGTTATCCTTGCAATATTCATCTAGATAAAATGTCACAACACTGGGAATAAAAACACCTCGGGTACTTACAGGGAAAAAGGCAGGTCCCACTCAAGTGGGTATCAGATTCTCCAGCAGAGCCATAAAATCCTACACGCCACCAAGCAGTCAGATATGCAATGAATCCAAAAAAACTACCTTCCTTTTATCCTTTCTTAGCAAACCAGTAGAGAATGGGATCCGGGAGGTGGGTGGCGAGAGAGTAAAGCAAAGAGGAATACGTGGATTCCAACACAAAAGGGCGGTGAGAAAGAAGCTCGGGAGATGGTTTTGCAGCCAGCCTCAGAGTGTGATCAGTCCAGAGTGAAATGGAGGACTGCCAGGACTTTTCCCAGAAGAACACAAGTGGTAAACCTGAGGAGTCTGACCAAGTGAAAAATAGCACTTATGGGGTGCTTATTTGTGTTTTGCAATTTTTAAAAGATTTTATTTTATTTTTAAAGATTTTAAAATTTATAGAATGAGCATGCATGGGGGGAGGGGCAGAGGGAGAGAGGAAGCAGAGTCTCCACTGAATAGCCTGACACCAGGTTCAATCCCATGACACCGAGATCATCACCTGAGCCAAAATCAAGAGTCGGATGCTTAACCAACTGAGCCACCCAGGTGCCCCAAGATTTTACTTTTAAGTAATCTCTACACTCAACGTGGGGCTCAAACTCACAACCCCAAGATCAAGAGCTGTACTTTCCACCAACTGAGCCAAACAGGCACCTCTGCTTTTCACAATTTTGGTGGAAGGTTTGAGAACAAGTATAGTGCTTATGGTGTAGAAAACTAATGAGGAAAAAGAGGCAATTATTAACTCTAAAAAAATAAGTTGTAGAAGAAAACAAAATCCTAATTCACTACTTGGCTCATTGTCATAATGGCATAAACCCTAAATATTGAGTTAGCCAAAAATTTTTTGTATTTTACTTTTTTTAAAGATTTAATTTATTTATTTGAGAAAAAGAGAGAGTGGGATCAGGGGGAGAGGCAGAGAGAGAGGGAGAAGCAGACTCCCCACTGGGCAGGGAGTCTACGTACAGCTCCATCCTAGAACCTGGGATCACAGCCTGAGCCGAGAACAGACACTTAAGCAACGGGGAGACTGAGACAGGAAGGAGCAAAGGTGGCAGACAATATCAAAGTGCTAGTCCTCCTCTTTATATCAAGCCAACAGACAAAGTCTTAAAAGAATCCTAAAACAGGACACTACTAAGAAATATGGCATATGACAAAGCATCAGCAAAAATAGTTTGGGAGGGGTGCCTGGGTGGTTCAGTTGTTGAGCATCTGCCTTTGGCTTGGGTCATGGTCCCAGGATCCTGGGATCCAGTCCTGCATCAGGCGGAGCCTGCTTCTCCCTCCGCCTGTGTCTCTGCCTCTCTGGATCGCTCATGGATACATACATACAAACATACATACAGAAAATCTCTAAATAAAAATACTTTGGGAAAGAGGACTCAAGTTAGGAAGCATAGAATGGGGGACTACTGTTTATCATAAGCTATTTAACTTTTTAAATTCTATTCCATATTATTCTCCATACCAGAAAGTTCCATTTTGTTGGTCACTGTTGGCTCCTGTTAACGTGCCAGTGAGGTACAGGAGGAGCAGCTCCGTCATTAACGGGCATGTGGGAAGCCAAGGCCGCAACAGTGACGGGCACAGGCTGAGCTCTGAGAGGCTCCTGGAGCGCCCGGCAGGTGACCATGGGAAGCCTGCGCCTAGGTTAGGCTGGTCTTGGAATGAGTTAGACTGACTCTAGGTCCCCCATCAACCTTGAGGACATTTCCTTGTGACAACAGACACCGCAGAACCTACAAAATCCCCAACCCTGAGAGAAGCTAAATGATGGATATTCATTAAGTATCTAGATCATTTCCAAATAAGACAAACTCTGGAGGGGCGCCTGGGGGCTCAGGGGGTTAAGGATCGGACTCTTGGTTTCCGCTCAGGTCCCGAACTCAGGGGCATCAGATGGGGCCCAGCGTCCAGCTCCACGCTCAGCACAGAGTCTGTTTGTCCCTGTCCCTCTGCTCACCCCCACCTTAAATAAATAAGGTAAAATATGGAAACATTAATTACTGAATGTAAGTTCATACACTTTTGGCTCCTTTTTACAGATGAACCAAAGATATGTAGGTCTGTTAGTAGGTAACATCTTGTTGCCACACTGAAAACTTTACTGTGAGGGAGACTATACCTCTAGAAACTGTAAAACATATTCGTGCTTGGGTGGCTCGGTCAGTTGGGCATCTGCCTCCAGCTGGGGTCATGGTCTCGGGGTCCTAGGGTCCAACCTCACATTGGGCTCCTCTCCCTCTCCCTCTGTCCCTCCCTCCCCGTCCCCCACTCATGCACACTCTTTCTCTCAAAAAATAAAATAAATACTTTTTAAACGTATTCATAAATCTACCAGTCCACAGAATGCTAGTGTAACCAACAGTCCACGGTTGCTTCCTTCTTGGTTTTCCTTAGAAATAAAGGATTCTAGGGGCGCCTGGGTGGCTCAGTCATGATCCCGGCGTCCTGGGATCGAGTCTCGCATCAGGCTCCCCATGGGGAGCCTGCTTCTCCCTCTGCCTGTGTCTCTGCCTCTGTCTCTCTCATGAATAAATAAGTAAAATCTTTATTAAAAAAAAGGAAAGGATTCTAACTGATTTATGTAATTAAAAGTTATTACAGCTGTTATAGCAAATAGTACAGTGATTCCTCAAAAAATTAGAAATGGAACCACCACCTGACCCGGCAACCCCACTTCTATCTGAAGGAACTGAAGTCAGCACCTCAAAGGGACCTCTGCACACCAGGTTCACGGGCCTTCTTCACAGTAGGGTCGCTATGGAAACAACGTGTCTGTCAACAGGTGGGTGGATAAAGAAGACACATGCACAACAGGGTGTTAACCAGACATGAGAAAGGAGATCCTGCCAGTTTTGACAAGATGGATGGATCCTAAAGGCATTGTGCTAGACAGAATGAGGCCGAGACAGAAGGACAAGTCCTATATGGTATCACTTACGTGTGGAATCTTAAAAAAAAAGAAAAAATTGACCTTGTGAGCACCAGAGTAGAATGGTGGTGAGCAGGGGGTGGGGGGAGGGGGCTGGGGAGCTGTCCCTTGAGGGTACAGACTTCTAACCAGGAGGTCAACAGGTTCTGGATCTAATGGCAACACGGTGGCTGAAGTCAACAATATCACATTACAAGCTAATAAGTTACTAAGATACTAAATCTTAGCTGCTCCCAACACAAAAAGGAAATGGTAAAAAAAAAAAAAAAGGAAATGATAAATGTGTGACTTGGGAAAGAAGTGGGCTAATGCAGCAATCACATTGTGAAATCAGTATGTAACAATCATATTGTGATGCAGAAATGTACCAAACCAACGGCCACTGTAAACTTACACAGTGTTGTGTGTCAATTATATCTCAATTTAAAAAAAACCATTTGGGGCACCTGGCTGGCTCAGCCACTGGTGCAGGTGACTCTTGATCTCGGGGTCATGGTTTCAAGCCCCACATAGGGTTTGCAGATAACTTAAAAATAAAATCTTTTTTTTTAAAATTTTTATTTTATTTATTATGATAGTCACACAGAGACAGAGAGAGAGAGAGAGAGAGAGAGAGAGAGAGGCAGAGACACAGGCAGAGGGAGAAGCAGGCTCCATGCTCCGGGAGATTTGATCCCGCGTCTCCAGGATCACGCCCTGGGCCAAAGGCAGGCGCCAAACCGCTGCGCCACCCAGGGATCCCCTAAAAATAAAATCTTAAAAAAAAAAAAAAAACAGCCTTAAAAATATTTATTTTGATTACTGAGTTTGGTAATCAGTGCCCCCGTAAATTTTGGAAACCGTACCCAGAAGGGTGTAGTTCCCAGCTCCTTTCCCTCTGAATTTTCTTAGTTACCGTCTCTAATTTTTCTGATGTTTGCACTTTGAAGTTCTCTTTTTCCTTCCCCCTCAAAGGTATTACAGGTTGAGTCGCAAACAACTGCCATACAGCAAGTCATACGGATTTTTTGGTTCCCCAATGCATATAAAAATTGTTTACCCCACACTTGTCTATTAAGTGTGCAACAGGATTATGTCCTACAATTACGTACCTGAATCAAAAAAAAAAAACACCTAATCATCTGAGTTCTCAGTGAGTTATAATCACTGATCACTGTACCAAATACAGTGAAAAGGTTTGAAACACTGCAAGAATCACCAAAATCCGACAGACACAAAATGAGCAGATGCTGCTGGAACCTGGGTGCCCATGGATGTGTTCAGTGCAAGGTTGCCACAAACTTTCAATTCATTAAAAAAAAAAAAAAAAAAAAAAAAAAAGCCGTACTTGCAAAGCACGATCAAAGGAGCCCAGTGAAAGCCACAGGGTGGATGAAGGCGTCGCCGCACTTTCACCCCAGGAGACCAGACCTCGGGGTGCGGTGGTCTCGGCCTTCCCAAGGGCGCCCCTGCCTCGGGCTGCTCCCCCGCCTGGGACTGGACTAGCCTGGCCCCGGGGACAGAAGCCCTTAGAGCCCCGGCGCCCCCTCCGAGGGCAGGCCCGGCGCCTGGGGACGAGCACCCCGCGGGGCCCAGGGCGACCCCGAGGCCGCAGAGACCTCAGGCCCAGGACCGCGGCTCCGAGTCACCGTGACTCAGCGAGTCCGAGGCTGCCCCCCCCCCCCCCATCTCGTGCGAAGCCTTTCCCCGCGGAGACACCGGGCGCGGCCGCCGCTGCCCAACCTCTTCCTGGAGGCCCCGGGCGCCCTGCCCCGCCGGGTGGCCGCCGCCCCCCCCCGCGCCCCGCGCCCCCGCGGCCCCGGCACCCTTCTCACACCTCGGGGCCCCCTCCAGCCCCCAGGCTCGCCCCCCCCCCCCCCCGTCCAGAACCGCGGTCCCCGCACGCCCCGCCCTGCGCCCCGGGCTCCGGGGCCGGCTCCGCCCGGCAGGGCCGCTCCAGTGGGCCGGGCGCCCGGGGCCCATAAAGCGGCGGCGGCTGCGAGCGGCACCCCGAGCCCCGCCCTGCCCCGACGCCGCGGCCCCACCCCCGCGGCCCCGACAGCCAGCACCCAGCGGCCGCGCGCCACCGGAGCCCTGGCGGGTGAGTGCCGCGCCGCTCCGGACAGGGGCGCCCCCGCAGCAGGGGGCGCCGGAGCAGGGGTGCCCGCGGAGCAGGGGAGCCCCCGGAGCAGGGTGCCCCGGAGCAGGGGAGCCCCCGGAGCAGGGGCGCCCCCGGAGCAGGGTGCCCCGCAGTAGGGGAGCCCCCGGAGCAGCGTGCCCCGAAGCAGAGGCGGCTCCGCAGCAGGGGTGCTCCGGAGCAGGGTGGCCTCTGCAGCAGGGGAGCCCCCGGAGCAGGGGAGCCCCCGGAGCAGGGTGCCCCCGGAGCAGGGTGCCCCGCAGTAGGGGAGCCCCCGGAGCAGCGTGCCCCGAAGCAGAGGCGGCTCCGCAGCAGGGGTGCTCCGGAGCAGGGTGGCCTCTGCAGCAGGGTGCCCTCGAAGCAGGGGAGCCCCCGCAGCAGGGTGCCCCTCAGCAGGGGAGCCCCCGGAGCAGGGTGCCTCGAAGCAGGGGTGCCCGGGAGCAGAGGTAGCCCCGGAGCAGGGGTGGCCCCGGAGCAGAGGCGCCCCCGGAGCAGAGGCGGCCCCGGAGTAGGGTGCCCTGGGAGCAGAGGGCTCCCACAGCCCTCATTTGTCTGCAGGGGTCCCCAGGGGCTTAGGTCTCAATTTTCCTCCATGACTCAAACTGCATCCCGGGGTGAGCCCTCCCCACACACGGGAGGGAAGGGGAGCTCCTGTTTCCACCCCATCTCCACAACCTTGGGTGGGTGTTTGAGACGGACTTGACCTCAGAAGCAAAAAATTCCCTCCAGAACAGGTCAGGCACCGGTGGTTAGAGGCCCAATCTGGCCGCCTTGTTTGGCCTTAGAATTTAAAATACTTCGGTGTAACTTGTAGGTTTACAATACCTATAGGTGATTTCATTTATTTATCTTTTTTTTTTTAATAGATTATTTATCTAGGGCAGCGTGGGTGGCTCAGCGGTTTAGCGCCGCCTTCTGCCCAGGGCGTGATCCTGGAGACCCGGGATCGAGTCCCACGTCGGGCTCCCTGTGTGGAGCCTGCTTCTCCCTCTGCTGTGTCTGCCTCCCTGTGTCTCATGAATTAAAAAAAAAAAAAAAAAAAAAAAAATATATATATATATATATATATAAAGATTTTATATATATGTCTGTGTGTGTGTATATCCAGATACTGAACTTTGCCGGTTGTATTTCTTACAAATACATCCTTCCTGTTTGGGCCTCATCTTATATTGCTTAGTTTAAGATTCTATTTTTTCATGAGACACACAGAGAGGGGCAGAGACACAGGCAGAGGGAGAAGCAGGCCCCATGTATGGAGCCCTACGTGGGACTCGATCCCGGGTCCCCAGGACCACGCCCTGAGCAAAGGGCAGACACTCAAGCCCTGGGCCGCCCAGGTGCCCCTTATATTGCTTATTTTGAAGGTGGTAGGCATCCCCCGAAGCTAGTAGGTGGTGAGCTCCTTGAAAGCTAGGGATAAATATCCCGATTTCTCATTTTATGTCAAGTGACTTTATATTTTACCACTTAGGAAACGCTTGTTAATACTAAGTAAAAAAGAATCTTTATATGTAGGTAAGAAGCCAAGAGAATAAAACCTGACAAAGCTGAGTTCAGTAAATATTGATATAACTAACACAAAGGTAAGTGGCAGAGAACATGCTTGTCAGAACTTCATCTACTCACATTTCTCCCAAGAGTGTTAAGTCCTGGAGTCGATTAAAAAGGGGGGGGGTAAAAAAAAGGGGGGTAGGAGTTTGTTGAGGAAGCCTCCGGAGCCTCTTTCCCTTTTCCTGATTCAAAGCAGATGAATCACTGTCGTTAAATCCCTCAGCCTGAGATGCTCGCGCAGGCTGGGCGGGGCCCTCGGGGCCCCGGTCCTTCAGCCCGAAGCAGCTGCTCCCATGGGGCCCCACGGGGGTACAGCCGTGAGGAGTTAGTAAGAAATGAGGTAGTGGGGGGCACCTGGGGGACTCAGCGGTTGAGCCCCGGGTGTGACCTCGGGGACCCGGGATCGAATCCCACGTCCGGCTCCCCGCGGAGCCTGTTTCTCCCTCGGCCTGTGTGCCTGCCTCTGTGCCTCTCGAATCAATCAAAAAATAAAATCAAAAGAAAGAAAAGAAAAGAAAAGAAAAGAAAAGAAAGAAAGAAAGAAAGAAAGAAAGAAAGAAAGAAAGAAAGAAAGAAAAATGAGATTGTGATGCCAGTTGCTTGGAGCAGGGGTGGTGATCTACTCCGTCCTCTGGTACCTCCCCTGCTGCCCCGCACATGGTTGCATGGATTTATCTAGGTCTCTCTCTCTCTCTCTTTATATATATATATTTAAGTTGTTGTTTCTTTGTTTTGTCTTTGTAATCTGTACACCCAGTGTGGGGCTTGAACTCACAACTATGAGCTCAAGAGCCCCATGCTCCTTCGACTGAGCCAGCCAGAGGCCCCATGTCTATATAAAGTATTAGAGTTTCACCACTTAGCTATGTAAACTTGGGAAACTTGCTTAACTTTTCTGTGCCTCACTGTTCTCATCCATAATATGGGGATACTAAATCTTATATATATATATATACACACACACACACACACACACATCTCAGCGTTGCCATGACAACTGCAGAAGAATGCCAAGCACTCAGAGCAGTGCCCAGCACATAGTAAGCTCTCATTAATGCTATTAGGGCAGAGCAAGGCCAATAGTACCTGATTTCACTTGTATGGAATCTAAAAACCCAAACAATGAACAAACAAACAAAAAGACACAGACCCTTAAATACAAAAAACAAAGCAACTTTGCCAGAGGGGAGTGGGATGGGCAGAGGGGCACCAGATGAGTGAAGGGGAGTGGGAGATATGGGCTTCCAGCTACAGAATGAATAATCACAGGGTAAAAGGTCCGCACGGGGGATGTAGTCGACGGTACTGTGACAGTGTCGTAGGGTGTGACAGGTGGTAGCCACCCGTGGGGTGAGCATAGCCTAATACAGGGACGAGGACTCACTTGTCAGTCACCTGAAACTAACGTAACATTGTCAAATATACTTCAGTTAAAGAAGAATAAAGGGCACCTGACTGGCTCAGTCGGAAGAGTGTGGGGCTCTTGGTGTCAGGGTTGGGAGTTTGAGTCCCACGTTGGGTGAGATTACTTAAAAATAAACAAAACTTAAAAAAAATGCACGCTGTTCTCGTGAGCGTATAGCCTGCTTGTTCTGGCAACTTTATGAATACAGGCCCAAGGAGAAAAGGTCCAAGAAAAAAAAGTAAATCTTTCCCTTCTGTCTCTACCTCCTTGCCGGCTCGTACTCAGCTAAGAAAACTATTAATAGTTTCATGTGATCCTTGCGCATCTCTTCTTCCCCCATACCTAGATGCCGCAAATCTACGCACACGTATGTGTAGTTTCTTTGTCTTTTTTTTTTTCTTTAAGTAACGGCTATACCCAACGTGAGGCTCTAACTCACAACTCCAAGGCCTAGAGTTGCGGGCTCCAGCCGAGCCAGCCAGATGCCCCTCTTCATCTTTCATAAGAATGGATTCACTTTACTTCATTTAATCAGCTAACCGCCTATCGTGGCTGTCGTTCTGGGAGACTATAGCGTCAGCTCGGCAAGAGCGTGCTGGTCTCTAGTATGTTTACTGGAGTCAGACTCCCCATCAATACACGGGCAGGTTGTGTGCAGCGCTTGCCAGGGAGAAGAATACAGTAAACCTCCTTGTGTCCCGATGCTTTTAGTCTGTAGGACGGATACCCCCAAAGTCAGAGAGCGAGATCAAAGACTTATTGTTTTTTGTTTTGTTTTTGAGAGAGAGAGAGAGAGAGAGAGAGAGAGAGCGCGCGAGAGAGCAGGAACAAGGTTGGGGGTGGGAGGGAGAAAGAGAGAGAATCCTAAGCAGGCTCCATGCCCAGTGCAGGGCTCAGTCTTGCGACCCTGAGCTCATGCCTTGTGCCAGATCAAGAGTCAGCCCCCCAGGTGCGCCAAAGATTCATGTGTCTTTAAAATTTTAAGAAATTTGGCCTGATTACTTGGCAATTCGTAGTCCCACTGACAAGGTGCCAGTTTTCCTGCAATTTCAATAGCCCTCAGTTGCTTGTTTGAATAGTTTTGCCAATCTTTTTTCTTTTTTAAAGATTTTATTTTTAAGTAATCTCTACATCCGACGTGGGGCCCGAACTCCCAGCTCCAAGATCAAGAGTTGCACGCTCCCCTGACTGAGCCAGCCAGACGCTCCTGTTTCGCCAGTCCGCTCCTATTTCGCCAATCCAATGGGTAAATACTGATAGCTCATTTTAATTTGTTTTTCGTGACAGGCCAGGCAGGGCACTCCTTCTGTTTTGTGTTTGATCTGCATTTCTTCCTCTGTGAATAGTGTGCCCAGGACCTTGCATTGTTACTACTGCATTGTCTTGTCCTGTTTGTAGGCATTCCTTGGGATTTGAACCCTTTGTGCTAAGAGTTACAGATGTCTTTCCCTCGCTGATTGTCTTTTGTTTATGGTGCTTTCTGGAACACACAAATTTTTAATTTTTATTTGTCTTTATCTGGCAAGCTTTTCCTTCATGGTTTCTGAATCTCTAGTCTTTCTTAAAAAGTACTCTCTATCTTTAGGTTATATAAATTCTCCCTTTAGATCTTTACTCTCTGCCAGGAATTTTTTGCTCTATGTGGTCTGTTTGTGGGATAGTGAAAAAAAAAAACAAAACAAAATACATATTGAACACAATAGACACTCTGAAAAGTGCACAAATTCGAAGTGATTTTTCATAGACTTGTGTGGTCAGCACCCAGATCAAGAAACAGAGCATGGGCAGCACCCCAAGAGCCCCTTCTGTGCCTTTCCAGTTGCTACCCCTCCACAAGGGGAACCACAATCCTAACTCCTAACCCGTCAGTTTTCTAGGGGATAATTCCATTTTCATGCAGATGGCCGCTTAAGTATGCCAACAAAATTAGCACTGAGTTAAAATGCCTCCTTTATTCATTGGTATTTTTTTTTTAATTTTTTTTTAATTTTTATTTATTTACGATAGTCACAGAGAGAGAGAGAGGCAGAGACACAGGCAGAGGGAGAAGCAGGCTCCATGCACCGGAAGCCCCACGTGGGATTCGATCCCGGGTCTCCAGGATCGCGCCCCGGGCCAAAGGCAGGCGCCAAACCACTGCGCCACCCAGGGATCCCCTTCATTGGTATTTTTTAAAAAAAAATTTTTATTTACTTATTCATGAGAGACACAGAGAAAGGCAGAGGCAGAAGCAGGCTGCATGCAGGAGCCCAATGCGGGACTCGAACCCAGGACCCCCAGGATCATGCCCTGGGCCGCAGGCGGCCGCCCCACCGCTGAGCCACCCAGGTGCCCCTCGCTGGTACTGTTAAGGAGTAACTGTGTTTCTGGCCTCAGGGGGTGGACTATATCACCCAAGGCCTAACAAAGTCGACTCTTCCCCCTTTTTTTAAAGTTTGGTTATTTATTTACCAATCCCCATGCCCAATGTGGAGCTAGAAGTCACGACCCCCAGAGCAAGAGTCGCGGGCTTTTCGGGCTGAGCCCCCCAAGCCCCAGACCCGGAGTGCGCACCCCAAGGTGGGCGCTGCCTCCCTCCTCCCTCGTGTGCCCGCAGCCAGGAAGGCGCTGATCGTCCTGGCGCACGCGGAGAAGACCTCCTTCAACCACGCCATGAAGGAGGCTGCGGTGGAGGCCCTGGAGGCCGCAGGGTGGGAGGTCACCGTGTCGGACCTGTACGCCATGAACTTCAACCCCGTCATCTCCAGGCGGGATGTGACAGGTAGGCGAGCCCCTGCTCCGGGAGGGCCCGGCCGGCTCCCCGTGGCCCCCCATCATCTGTCCCCCCTCCCGCAGGGATGCCCAAGGACGCGGCCCCCCATCACCTGTCCCCCCCTCCCCGCAGGGATGCCCAAGGACGCAGCCCCCCATCACCTGTCCCCCCCTCCCCGCAGGGACGCCCAAGGACCCCGGGAACTTTCAGTACCCCGCGGAGGCCGCTCTAGCCTATAAGGAGGGCCGCCTGAGCCCCGACATCGTGGCCGAGCAGAAGAAGCTGGAAGCCGCAGACCTGGTGATCTTCCAGGTGGGAGCCGGGTGCGCCCCCAGGCCGGCGCTCAGGGGGCCAGGCCCCGGCGCCCAGCGTGGGCCCGGGAAGCGTGGCGGCCACAGGCCTCCGGGAGCCCGCGCCTCCCCTGGGTTGGCACCGCCGGGGCCCTCGGGTGCACAGCCGCGGCCCGCCCTCTGGGGTCCTTGTTCTTTTATCCGGACAAGAGACCCAACAAGCCTTTCTCATGGGAGTTCTCTGATAGACCTCAGCCCCCGGGCCATTTGGCCTCCTGTGTGAGTGCACGCTCAGGCTGTTCGTGCTCAGTGACAGGATTTTACACCTGTCAGGTGCAGGTTTCATAGTGTTGCTACGGCTCCTACTAAAATGAGCTCTTGGGAAAATGTGGATTTAGGCATCACACATTGAAGCAAACTTTGCGATCCCTGCTGTTTAGACTTTGCTGATAAATGTGATTTCAGAGAAATCTTTTATAATTTCTTAAGATTTGTTTATTTCTTTGAGAGAGAGAGTTGGGGGAGGGGCAGAGGGAGAGAGAGAATCTCAAGCGGAGCCCTGCTGAGGGTGGAGCCTGCTGCGGGGCTCGATCTCTCTACCCCGAAATCATGACCTGAGCTGAAGTCAAGTTGGATGCTTCACTGACTGAACCACCCAGACGCCCTCATGGAAACAAATCTTAAGCGCATGTGGCTTTCTGCAGACCTGCCCGTATTTGGTTCTTTAGGCAGAAATAGGAGTGTCAGGCCGACAGACCAAGGACAATAATTTTCTTTAATGTCCTCGCTTCTCCAGAAGAAATGAGAAGGGCCCCAAGAAGGGTCTGCCTTTCCTGACATCACAGGCAGCAGCTGCACAGCTGTGCCGCCTCTGCACTGGTGTTTCCTTTTTTTTTTTTAAGATTTTATTTATTTATTTATAACAGATAGAGAGAGGCAGAGACCCAGGCAGAGGGAGAAGCAGGCCCTATGCAGGGAGCCCAACGTGGGGCTCGATCCCAGGACTCCAGGATCACGCCCTGGGCGGAAGGCAGTGCTAACCCGCTGGGCCATAGGGGCTGCCCTGCGCTGGCGGTTCCTGATCTGACCTCTGTGTCCTTCGCCCCACAGTTCCCACTGCAGTGGTTTGGAGTCCCTGCCATCCTGAAAGGCTGGTTCGAGCGAGTGCTCATCGGAGAGTTTGCTTACACGTACGCGGCCATGTATGACAAGGGACCTTTCCGGGTACGTGGATGCTTCTGCTCCAGCAGCAGGATTCTCCCTCAGGCAGGGTCTGGGACACCACTAGATACTAAGGTCAGGCTCCTGGGAGAGATGGATGATAAAATTTTTATGGATATTTAGACGTGACTTTAGGACTTGCTTTAAAATACCCCAGGAACATGAGGGGCAAGGGTATTAGCTAAGACGAGGAGGGCCAAGTATGGAGACTTGGAGCTGAGTGGCGGAAGTGTCCTTATGCTTTCTTCTCTATGTATGTTGGACATTTTCCATAATAAGAGTTAAACAGAGAGTCTATCTCAGTTTTCTAGACACCCAAATACTACACAAGACACATTCTGAGGCCTCCCGGATTCCATGCCTGGGTATGTGGGTAGCACCGCGAGGGGACAGAGTTCCACTCAGGCACCAGGCGTCCACACTGATCTTGTAGTTTCCTGATTTGCTAACACCCCCCCCCCCGCGCCCCCGGAGCAAATCGAGACTCCTGGGCTTGCCCTGGAGTGTGACTTCTGGAGTCCACCCAGGTGGCTGGCTCAGAGGAGCCAATGTGAGAAGTGACGTGAATAGCAGGTGGGTGGACTTGTGTGTTCTTTCCCCTGGGGTTGTGTCATTAACTTCCTGTCACCATGAAGATGTGGAGGGTGACGACTTTGCTTTTACAGAATAAGAAGACGGTGCTCTCCATCACCACGGGCGGTAGCGGCTCCATGTACTCTCTGCAGGGTATCCACGGAGACATGAATATCATTCTCTGGCCAATTCAGGTTACTCGTTTTCAATGAACCTTCTGGGGGATTAATCAATCGAGCTTTCTGTGGGGTCCAGAGCCTCAAGAGAGCAGCTGAAAACAGACCCGAGGTGTCGAGGTGTGAGGATGAAAGCAACGTAGTAACTCAGAACTCCAGGGCACTCCCTCCCCTGCCTTCCTGGTCTTCCCAGGCCCCTGTACTAAAAGAATAACGCGAGTATGGCACGTCCAAACACTACTGCCTCCTAACCGAGGACTAGTGCAGATAACCCCCAGACTTGTAGAGCCAAGTAATGATTCTCTCCCGAGGACCGACACCTCTCCAGTCTTCCTGGCCTTTGCCAAGTTGCTGCTACGGCCCCACAAACTATTAGAAAACTGTAAGAAATAATTTAGTCCAGCTAACAAGAGTGAAGTCAGAGGTAGGCTTTTTGGGGGTGGGTCACTGGACTATCAAGATAATCCCCTCTAGAGAAGAGGATTGGAGAGAACAAATATGGTGGCCCCCCATAACAGCGGGCAGTTGGTACTGGAGAAGTTATAGGAATCATTTATTAAGACTCCTCTAGTTAAGCAGAGAGGCAGAGAAAGGCAAATTGGCATGCCTTGGCACGAGTTGGCTGCCAAGAAGCTGAAACTCCCTTATGTAATAGAACTTCCGGCATTTTTGGCAGAGGATCCCAGGCTGGCAGAGTTTCAAGGTTTTATTCATTTAAAGAAGAGTTCAGCTGACTAGGCTAAATAAAATAGGTAACAGCTAGGAATAGAGAGCAGGTGAGAGAAAGAAAACAGATATGAATTGCTTCTCCAGGGGCCTCAGGCCCCCACATTGGATCCTCTTACTGGAAAACCTAGATTGACTTTTGCTGTTTGTATATGGTTCAAGCTGTGTAGGGTTTGTTGTGTGACTCATCTTTGTGCTTTGGTGTATCCCCAGAGTGGCACTCTGCATTTCTGTGGCTTCCAAGTCCTGGAACCTCAACTGACCTATAGCATTGGGCACACTCCTATGGATGTCCGAATTCAGATCTTGGAAGGATGGAAGAAACGCCTGGAGAATATCTGGAATGAGACTCCACTGTATTTTGCTCCAAGTAGCCTCTTTGACTTAAACTTTCAGGCAGGATTCTTAATGAAAAAGGAAGTGCAAGATAAGCAGAAAAACGAGAAATTTGGCCTTTCTGTGGGCCATCATTTGGGCAAGTCCATCCCAACTGACAATCAGATCAAAGCCAGAAAATGAAACTCACAAGGCTTTATTTCCTTCTAAAATGTAGCCAAATCGAGGTTTCTTTTTTTGGACTTCTTTGACTTGCTTTAGTCTTTGAGATTTGTGTGTTTTTCTTTTTCCACAAGGAATGACTAGGAGACAGAATAGACTGTATTCCTATATTTTTGGGTAGTTGTAGTAAATATAACTGATTCTTATGATTGCGATCATGGCAAAATCTGATTAGGCTCAAGAGGCCACTTAGGATATACAGCAGGGAAAGATGGAGAAAAGATACCAGACAATATTCTTTAAGGTCCTCTATACAATAATTCTTCTTTTTAAGTATGAATTTTTAGGGCTGAATCTGCGAGACAGCATCCAGCCCTTTAATGACATACTTTTCTTTTAGTTACCTCTCTTTGGCTTATGGCAGAAGGGAATTGGTCAGAGAAAAAAAATGGGTGCTGACCCAAGGGACTGGTTTAGTAGTTACTAATCTGTGCTTGTTTACCATAGATACTGGCTTTAATTACTGCGCCGTGACTAGTATGCCTAATGTGAGAGTTCCTCTTGCTTCAATTTTTGTAGTTTGTATACAGTACCTAGAGATACTTTCAAGTGAAAAGATAATAAAGGTCTCTTCTTTGTCTCAGTCTTCTAATTTAATGTCTGCAGAAATAAACCAACACATCCATACAGCACATCTGCTACAATGACCGAACAAGAAATAGTTACTTAACAAAAGCCTCCTACAAATAGTACTTTATTTTTGAGCTTAGAACACCCTGGAAGGTTTTCTTCTCCACTGCTAAACTGATGACTTTCCTTTTGGATGTGGTTTGGTCCCACCATTTTGGGGATGAAATTGTAATCCTAGAGTTTCGTTAACTTTGAACAATTTTGGTATACCGTTCCAATTTCCAGTTTAGATTATAGAAGTGCAGCTCGCTGTCGGTATAATTCCAGTAGAGTATGATGAAAGGCTGCCCTCTTGTGGTGCACTGAAAGGAAACGAGAGAGGAGGCAAAACAAGGTTGCTGGACACTGGGAACAGGTCCTGGACCTGCCAAGGAAATGAGGGCAGCAGGCAGGAGCCTCACGTGCCAGATGCTGACAGGCATTTGGGTATTTCCCCCTACAATGGCAGATGACTAGGTGCTTCAGTTTGAAAGATGTTTTCTTGTTGCCTTCATTCTCACTGCAATTTTTGTAAATTTCTGAAAGTTCCAGATGAAATAAAAACCATTTCTACAAAATGGATGCACACTCATTGGTTTCAGTGAAGCTAGTGATGGAGGCATACAGGCAAAAGTGGAACCTACTGGGGAAGATGGGATCAGTCTGCAATAATAAATTACGGCCAGGGTGCCTGGAGGCCAACTCGGTAGAGCATGCAACTCTTGATCTTGGAGTTGTGAGTTCCGGCCCCTTAAAAATAAAATCTTAAAATCTTAAAAAAAAAAAATTATGGCCAGAAGCTTATAAGACTGGAGAGCTCTCCCAACAGGGCTGCTTCATATTGAATTGGTAAAGAAACAACCTATTAAGACCCTCGCTGGGAATCTACGGGACATTTACAGAGATCCAGGAAAAACATTCTAGAAATCAAGAAAAACCTAGAATTCAGTAAACAAATGCCAAGGGGCAGTATTTACTGTGATTTGCCTGATTTATTCTGATTTATCCAGTCAATGGGCTAGATACTCTTCTAGGCAGTGGGAGTTGGCAACGATTGACAAAAACCAAGTACCTAATGCTAGGAAGAAAGAGTAGGGTAAGAGAGAGATGGGATAGTTTTGTTTTACACAAGGTAATCAAGAAAGACCTGCCCGATAAGGCTACATGTTTGCGAAGTCCTGACAAAGTGAGAGAGTGAGGTGTAGGCAGATGCGTGAAGGAAGGCACCCCGGGCAGTAGTGATCTCAGCGTGCAAATACCTGAGGCAGGAACGTGCACGGTGTGAGGAAGAAATAAGAAGTCAGTGTAACCAAAGCAGAGAAAAAAACAGAAGGCTATGTCAGACATATAGCCGGGATCGGATCATATAGAGCCTTACAAGTGCTATAAGAATATAAAGATAGGAAGTCACTGGAGAGTTTTGGGCAGAAGTATAGTATCATATGACCCATGTTTAATTCTGGCTGGTAGGGGAGGAATCAAGGAATAAGGCAATCATGGAAGCACAGCGAATTGTGGGATGGTGTGACAATCTAGCCAATAAACATTTTGAGCAAGAGGTGTCAAAGAAGTGGATTTTAAAAGGCTGTATATTTCATGTTTTAAAAAAGATTTTATTTATTCATGAGTGACACAGAGGGAGAGAGGCAGAGACACAGGCAGAGAGAAGCAGGCTCCATGCAGGGAGCCTGATGCAGGAATCGATCCGGGGACCCCAGGATCACGCCCTCAGCTGAAGGCAGGCGCTCAACCATTGAGCCACCCAGGCATCCCAGGTTGTATGTATTTCAAAGGTTGCATTAACAGTATTTGGTAAAGGACTGGATCTAGGTCAGATAAAAAACTCAAAACATATTTTGGCTTACACAACTGGAAGAACGGAGATTGCATTCGCTGGGATGAGCAAGAATTTGGAAAGCATATTGGGGGCAGAAGTTGGGGTCGGGAAGGGTGGAATCAAAATTTGACTTCAGACATTTTATGTTTGAAATGGGTGTCTAGTAAGGATAATAGGGACATGCAGTTACGGGGCACCTGGGTTGCTCAGTTAAGCATCTGCCTTCGGCTCAGGTCATGATCCAGGGGCCCTGGGATGGAGCCCCACAATGGGCTCCTTGCTCAATGGGGAGTCTGCTTCTTTCTCTTCCTCTGCTTCTCCCCCAGTTCATGCTCTCTAGCATGCTGTCTCTCTCAAATAAGTAAATAAAATCTTAAAAAGAAAAAAAAAAGGAATCTGGAGTTACGGGAGAAGTTACATTTTTTTTTAATTTTTTATTTATTTATGATAGTCACAGAGAGAGAGAGAGGCAGAGACACAGGCAGACAGGCAGAGGGAGAAGCAGGCTCCATGCACCGGGAGCCTGACGTGGGATTCGATCCCGGGTCTCCAGGATCGCGCCCTGGGCCAAAGGCAGGCGCCAAACCGCTGCGCCACCCAGGGATCCCTACATTTTTTTTCCTAATGCACAAAGACATATATGTTTTACTCATGTTTCATTTCAAATACCACCAGTGTATGTTATATATACATTTTGGTGAACACTACGATTGGAGGCATATACTTGAAAATCTTCAACAGAGAGATATATAAAGCAATGTCACGGATGAGATTACCTAGGAAATAAATTACGAAAAGAGATCCGATGATTGACCTCTAGGGCTCTCCAGTGTTAAAGAGGTCAAGAAGATGAGAATTTTAAAATGTGGCCAGCAGAGCAGGCTTGTTGAATGTGGGGTCTGAAAGCTAACCGTGTTTCAAAGAGGAAGTGATCAAGTGTGTCCAATACTACTCGTAAGCCAAGATAGGTCTGAGAATGGACTTGCATATAGCTATGTGGACGCCACTGGTGATTTGGACAAGAGGTATTTCAGGAGTGGTTTGGAATGCGTTCAAGAAAGAATGGAAGGGGGCAGCCCGGGTGGCTCAGCGGTTTAGCGCCACCTTCAGGCCAGGGTGTGATCCTGGAGACCGGGGATTGAGTCCTGCGTTGGGCTCCCTGCCTGGAGCCTGCTTCTCCCTCTGCCTGTGTCTCTGCCTCTCTCTCTCTCTCATGAATGAATAAATAAAATCTTAAAAAAAAAAGAAAGAAAGAATGGAAGGGGAGGAAGTGGAAACTTTGTGTACACAGTTGTATGGGCAAACAAAGTTATTTGACTTATTTTTTTTAAACAATTTTTTTTAATTTTTTTTTTTAATGACAGTCACAGAGAGAGAGAGAGAGAGAGAGAGAGAGAGAGAGAGAGGCAGAGACACAGGCAGAGGGAGAAGCAGGCTCCATGCACCGGGAGCCTCCAGGATCGCGCCCCGGGCCAAAGACAGGCGCCAAACCACTGCGCCACCCAGGGATCCCTTATTTGACTTTTTAAAAGATAAGGGACATCATAGCAAATTTACATGCCAGTAGGAATGACTCAGAGAGAAAGGTTTTGATGCTGGAGAAATAAGGCAATGAAAGGAACAGGTCTTTGGAAAAAAAACAAAAGGAGATGGGATCTAGTGCACAAAGGACAGAAGAGCTAAGTACTATCAGGACTAGTAATACGAAAACAAGGTTAACACTGATTAGGCACTTACTGTGTGCCAGGAACTATGTAATTTTACATGGATTAATTTACTTAGTTCTGCAATAACCCTAAGAAAAGGGTTTTATTTTTGTTTCTACTTTATAAGTAAGGAGATGAAAGAGTGAAGTTAAATCGTATGTGCAGGAGCCAGAACTCCACTCAGATGGGCAAACTCAAGATCTTAGGCACTTTTTTTTAATTGAAGTTTGATTTGCCAACATATAACACCCAGTGCTCATCCCATCAAGTGCCCTCCTTTGTCCCCAGTTACCCCATCCCCCCACCCATCTCCCCTTCCACAACCCTTTGTTCATTTCCCAGAGTCTCTCATGGCTTGTCACCTGATCTTAGGCTTTTAAATACTACAGTATATTGCCTTAGTAGAAGCAAGGATGATGGCACCATGAAAAAGAGCACAAGAGTAGCAATCCATACCTCTTCTGGAGAGCGAGACCATTAAGTGTTGGTGTTAAGAAATTGTAGCTACTTTTATACTTCTAGAAGCCCCTGTTGGGTCCTGAGCAGGCATAAATGATGTTCCAATTCTCATATAGGCCTGATACATGGCTGTCAAGATTGTGTTCGCTCCTTATGATAGGACAGAGTAGTACTCTTAGGAGCTTGAAGTAAAGCAAGGACAACTACCTCCCTTGTTCTGGACACTGTAACTTGAATTATGTAACCCAGGATTGCATCAGCTTTTCTGGCAGCCACTTAACAGTCTCCAGTTCAGATCAATCTATTGCCCACACAGGCTGTTTTTCCGATCCAAGGTTTTTGTTTTTGTTTTTTTAACCCTTTTATTATTTTTACTTTTTAAATTTTAATTTTAGGTCATTAACACAGTGGAGTTAGAATTTTGGGAGTAGAATTTAGTGATTCCTCACATACAACGTCCAGTGCTCGTTATAACAAGTGCCTTCCTTAATCACCCATCTAGCCCATTCCCCACCCTTTTTCATATTTATACTTACTGAATTTCACTTCATTATCACTTCTTTCCAGTGCTGCTGAAGTCAATAAATGCCAAAAGACAACCTTTAAACACATCTGCAACAATGGCAGCATTGTTAAAATAATATAAAGCCTCCAAAATTGACAACTCACGTGTGTATACATTTGGGTAGGCTGAAAATTCAGTCACTTTCATAGAATCAACAGACACAGTCTATATTGATAAGAGGTATAAGCATACTGTTTAAAGCAGTGCTTCTGAAGTTTCAGTTACTTATATAGATGATGTCCATATATCATCTATATTTGTTTTTAAGTATCACATTTCCCCAGAGTCTAGTAGGTAGACGTACATTTTTTTCCTAATGCACAAAGACATGTATGTTTTACTCATGTTTCATTTCAGATACCACCAGTGTATGTTATATATACATTTTGGTGAACATCAATTTATAT